TGTTATGATTTTCTTATTTTAGTAATAATTAATCAATTTGTGCACATAAATTTTAACTTAGATTTTATACACTGATTCTACCTAATAATTATTATAATTATGATATTAACTGATTCATACACGATTGTAGTATTTACTAATTTCTATCTATTGATTGCTAATCAAAAAATAGTGACCAATTGGAAAGGTACCCAATTTATCAGCGTTCAACCTATATATAATAACAAAAATTTTACTTTATAAGTAATTTTATAATATTCTATTATAATTAATATAGTTAAAAGTAAATTTTATAAAGTTTATCATAGATTAATCATGAAATTTTTAATTTAAATTTTTTTTAAAAATTACAAATTTTAGCTACTAATCTTAAATTTTAATATATGATTAAAAGATAAAACTTGCTATAATTTATTTAAAAAAAATTTTTTTTAAAAAATATTAATTATTTATAAAAATAAATCAGAGAATTTATAGTAAATAAGCAGGCAAATTTGCCTGCAAAACCCTACGATTTAAGGGATAATAATTAATAATCTAATTATTTATTTTATTATATATTAATCTTAAAAAATATTATTTAACGCAGAATATATAATTATTATAAATAAGGTTAATTTATTAATGCCGTAATGCCGGCCAAAGTCATGTGGAATGAAAAGTCTTGTGATATATCAAATTAAATCACGGGACAAAATTATATATAATCGAATATCATTACTAATTTTTTTAAATGTTCGTCTTTCCTGTAAAAACGAAAGCTTGTATATTTTATTAGTTATTATTTTTTAACGACGATTATTTAATTAAGCATATAATGGTTGAAGACGAAGGTAATAAGTTTGTTTAAAAGATTTCTTTTGTAATAGATCTACGTGAAAATTTTTGCGAAAATCTAATATTCTTCAAATTCAAATTTTTGATCTGTTTACGAAATTTTATTTTTTTATTTTATTTTGAACTTTTATTTAGATGTTTGTCGCGTTTGCCGTAGTGAAGGCACCGAAGACCAACCGTTATACCATCCCTGTAAATGCTCTGGAAGTATTAGATTTGTTCACCAAGATTGGTAAACGTCTTATTTATTTCGAAGCTTTGATTTAACATTTCAATATTTTCATAAATATTTATAAAATTCTATTTTATTTAATAGTTTGACGGAATGGCTCCGGCATAGCAAGAAAAAGTGCGCAATTTTATTTTATTTGTAATTTGTTTTTTTTCGAATATTCATTATTTATTAATAAATTAATTATAGATATTGTGAAGTGTGCAAATATCCTTTTTCATTCACACCAAGTATGTATTATTATGTATTTTATTAAACTATTGTTAAGAGTTCTATTAATAAAAATTTTAATCATTAGTTTATGATCCAAGCATGCCAGACACTATTCCAATTGTGTTATTTCTTCGACGCGGTATACGACGCCTGTATGGGCTCATACAAATATGGTTCCGTGCACTTCTCGTGGGAATTGTGTGGTTGGTAGCGTTACCCTGGGTTACTGTTTGGATATGGAGGGCCTATTTCTTGAGTGGGGAGTTTCTTGCTTTTTTGATTAACGGACAAAAGCCTCCCACAAGAACTTCAGATAATACAGAATCTGGAGAAAAAAGTGGACTTAGTATAATATATTTGGGATTACTTAAGGGATTTATTTGGTATGTTCCTCCAGAAGCAGTAGCATTTGTGGAATATTATGGTGATTTAGCCAGGTTGGTTTTTGTTTATATTTCGATAATCATTTCAATTCGGCCATACATTAATCGTAATGTTATTAATAAAATATTACAGCAAAGTATTATCAGATACATTTGAAGGACAAATTATTACATGTGTTGTAGTAATAGTTTTTGTAGCTGCATTCTTATTAAGAGAGTGGATAGTTCAGAATACGCCAGCTGCAAATGATAATAATAATGTTAACGAGCAAATAAATGATGAGCCCGCAAACGAAAGGAATGCCAATAACGATAACAATGCGATCGTGTTACCTAATCTTCAAGTTTTACCAGAAGTTGAACAATTACCCGAACAACAATTGGGAAACAATGAAGAACCTCAAATTCCAGTTGTTCACGTTGGAGCAAATTTCAATGAAGGAGCTTTTGTATTTCAAAATGGACATCGTCTACCATTAATTCAACCAGATCCACCATTCCCAACTGATCCTATTTTACAAGAACCAATTCAACAAAATGTTCAAACATTAATGAATTTACATCGTCGTTATGTAGAAGAACAAAATAAAGAAGACAATATTGATCGACAATTAATAGTAGATAATAATACACTTGTTCAGGAAGATCAATTTGAATCGAACATTATAGATTCGAAATTAGATGATTCAATTGATGATATTGGATCAAGTTCTACTTATAATAAAGAACATTCATCCTTAGATTCAGAATTAAACGTTAGAGAGCTTAACATAGACGATCAAAACCCCTCTATGTATGTCCCATATGTAGATGATTCTAAAGCGTCAATTGGCGCTATTATGATGAGTGATGCGAATAATGAAAATTCTAAAGGAAAAAATATTGAAACAAATAATTCCACAATGATTTTCCCGGAATCAAAGGATTCTCTTTCATCCTCACCAGAATTACAGTGTGCATCTACAAAGGATCAAAATTCTTTGCAATTTAGAATTAGTAATTCTGTCACTGACAAAAATAAGGAAGGTACAAATGATTTGATCGCAACATCATCCTCATCCTCATCAGGTGTTGCAGTTCGACAAGGATATTCTTCAAACACAAAACCATTTCGTGAAAATTTTGTAGAAGATAGAAGAATTCGCCCAATCAGAAAAATAAGAACACGTATAGCAGTTCCTATGTCGTCTGATGCCTCTTCCAATGTAATAAGACAATTATCAAATTCTTCACAAGAAGATCTTGATGATTTATCTCTTGGTGGTTCTTTTATGAATATCGATTACTCTGAAATTTCAAGTAAAGAACAATTAGATGATGGCGATGCTGACTATGATGACTATGATGAGACACTTGAAGTTACAGATAGCGATCAGGAAAACGAAGACGTAAATTTACAAGAAAAATATCCACGTGACGTAAATAACACTTACAGTCCATCCAAAATAATAACAAATACTAGTGGTGTTTATTTTGCTGATGATTCTAGTTCGTTTGCTGTGCATCGTAATTCAAATGCTAATTTACAAAGTTACGGTGATCATTTTGAAAAACATGATGAAAATGATTTGTTAGATTTTGATGAAATGGACATTGATGAAGAGCGATATGATGAGGATGATGAGGATGATCTAGAAGGAGAGAATGAATCTGATGATAATGATAATCCACTTGAGGCTGAAAATGAAGAAGAAGAACCTGTTGAAGAATTAAATGGTACAAATATTAAATATTATATCTATTTAAATAAATGTAACTAACTTTAATAATATTATATAAATATTTATTTAGTGGAAGAACCTAATGCGAATATTGCTGATGCTCCAGTTTTGCCTGCCATACCTGCGCCTCTTTTTAATGAAGCAATCGAACCTCCTGCCGTTGATCAAGGATTTATTGAAGCTGATGATGATGATGATGAAAATGTTGCTAATGAAGACCTTGAAGGTGTTTTGGAAGCCATTGGAATGAGAGGATCTTTATGGATGCTAGCTCAGAACTCTGTGTTAATGATAATTTTGATCGCATTATGTTTAGCTGGCTCTATTTGGGTGCCATTCTTTGTTGGAAAAACTGTTTTACTGGTACTTTATGTCATGTTGCTAAAAAATTGTTATTAATTTTTTTTTTTAAAATATCTTATATAATACATATTTACATCCTTTAGATTAAACCTTTGAGTATTATACAACTCCCGTTGAAATTGTTGCGAAAAGTCACAGACCCTTTTGTAGATCTCGTTATTGATACCGGTATCCCATGGTTATGGTCACTTGTTTATCCACTATTAAAATCTGGTTGGAACGCGACTAGCCCTCAGATTTCACCAATTTTTGAAGATTCTTTATTTGTGAATTATGTGCAAGGCATTTCCGATAAAACGGATGATCTTTTGGGATATGCTGCTTCTTTCGTTGCTAAAATCGATCCTCCAGAATCAGTTATTGTTGTGAACTCAACCATCAGCGGTGTTAATCACTTTTCAGAATTTTTAAAAGCAAAAAATTTAACGTGGCTTGTTACGTTAATTGATCGTTGGAATGGTTTTGCATATGGTAACGCACCAACAGATAAGATCGTATGCATTCTTTCTGGATATACAGTCATTATTGTCCTATGTGCTTATTATTTGGCAAAAACAAGGAACGCATATGGTGCTACCGTTGGTCGTGCTGTACAAGAGGGATTACGACAACAAGGCATAGTTTTAAAGGTATGATAGAACTTATGAATGAAAGAAATATAATATGAAATATATTAATATATATTTTTTTTATTTAGGTCGCCTTTTTTGTCGCAATCGAATTAATTATTTTCCCGATCATATGTGGTATCTTATTGGACCTTTCTACATTACCGTTATTTGCGGAGGCCACACCAACATCACGGCTAGAGTTTTATTTTGAATCACCTATTACGTCAACTTTCCTTCATTGGTTTACTGGTACTGCATTCATGTTCCATTTTGCGGTGTTCGTATCTTTATGCCGAGAAATTGTACGATCTGGTGTTATGTGGTTTATTCGAGACCCGAATGACCCACAATTTCATCCCATAAAAGAAATTTTGGATAGGCCTGTTTGGACACAACTCAAAAAAATCGGTGCAAGTGGCATCATGTATAGTGCAATGATTGTTTGTGGTTTAGGGAGTGTTATATACTTTATTCGGTATTGTTTTAATGGTATATTACCATTACAATTATCATTCACGTATGTACTATTTGATTTTGATAAATTTGTTTTATATATAATTTTTATAAAGCCTGTTTTTTTTTTAGGGAACCAATCTCCGATTTTCCTGCCGATCTTCTTGTATTTCACATCGTTGTTCCTGTAACTGTCACTTGGGCCAAGCCAAAACGGTTGTTCCGTAAATTATTTGAAAATTGGTGGAAAGTTACCTCCCATGTTTTACGATTGACTTCTTTTATGTTTGGAGATCGTCATTTTGATGAAGAAGGTACACATGTACGCAGAACATGGGGTGCTTCTTTACGTCGCCTGAAAGCCCGAATTCCTAACCCGGGTGATAACATTATTGATGATAATACAGGGGTTGTTTTTGTGAAAGATGGTGAACTTGTCCGTGCTCCTAGCTACGATGGTGTACCAGTTGTTCCCGGTCGAAGAATGTTAATACCTGTGAATGAGGATGGCACGTTAAAAAATCCCGATGATGCACCAGTTGGTCAAGATGATCAATTAAACTACACAGTTGTTTATATTCCACCTAATTTCAAAGCGAGAGTAATTACATTTTTATTTCTTATGTGGTTCTGTGGTTCTTTATTCTGTTGTTCGGTTACTATTTTACCGCGTAAGTGCTTTTTTTCGATTTTTTTTATCTTTAAAAAATGAAAAATACGATTTGAGATTGTTGAGATCGAAATTAATATAAATCTGTTAATTCCTTTTTTATTTACTTAAAGTTTTGACGGGACGTTATATCTTTAAATCTATCCTACATCATCAACGTGCGGTTCATGATTTATACGCATTTACAGTAGGACTTTATGTATTGTGGGCATTATACATTTCTCTTGAATGGGTCATTAGTAAAATTCAGGCGATTGCCGGACAAGATCTCAATATTGATTGGACTATGGTTCGACAAAAAATGTGGCAAGGGACAATTGTGATCGCAAAAATTTTGTACTTTATTTTATCATTCGGAATTGTTATCCCATTCCTTCTATCATTGGTTACTGAACTATACATAATTTTACCCTGGAAAAAATTAACGACCGATATTCCAATCATTTCTTTTTTACAAGTAAGTTTATTATCATGATACGATTACCTTTTTTTTGTATTTTAACAAATTTTTTTTTTTTGTAAATAGGATTGGGCTTTGGGCATCGTTTATATGAAAATTGCATACCGTATTGTTTTTATGCTGCCTGATAATGTTTATAGTAGAGCTATCAATGATGTAAGATTTATTTAGTTTTCATTATGGTAAGACAATATACATGTAGTTAACTTTATACTTATTTTTTAAATTAGATAACTGAGCGAGGCTTTAGAAATTTGAATGTCAAATTGGCAACAACAGTATTTATTATTCCTATAGGAGGCTCGGCATTAGCAGCCGTAATTCTACCGGCATTAACAGCTTGGGTGATAATATCTGCGGCTGGTATGATTATTATTCTTTATCATTCTATAAAATAGTTCATAACAGCAAATACTAAAATAGAATTACTTCTCAATTAAAAGGTATTTCTAATGCAAATAGTATAGCTCTTATAATTCGCTATATCTATCCAGTGTTTTTGGCGATAGTACTTGGTTATCGTGTTCAACGACAAATGGGACAATTAGTAAACAGCTGGATGCAAGCCGTTCGTGATGAAGAATATTTGATAGGGCGTAGATTACATAATATTGATCCAAATGAACAACGTGGAAACACTAATGTTATAATAAGGGGACAGTAATTATTATTAACATAGATTTTTATTTACATCGGCTTTTTAGCCACAAAAGAAAAAACTAATAATGCATACAATGTCAAATGGCATGTCTCTACATTTGTATAAAAACTTTCAATAAAATAATAATTTTTACTTTAATAATCAAAACAAATATAAAAATCTGCAATTTGTTGACTTCTATAAAAAGGGTTACTTATTCTATAATTCTATGATAAGGAGAATAAGATAATGTCCCTTTGGTTGCTGATCATTTTTAATTATCATGTGCAATAGAAAAAATAAAAAAAAGAGTAATGATAAATTTGAACATATTCGGCCTGAAAATCATATTTGGTATATAAAAGTAAATTGATTTTTTCCGGCAGTTTCCCCCCTTTCTATTGCAAAGGCCCCATATATTGAGTTTTCTTGGCAAAATCGCCAAGAAAAATGAAATATGGTCACATGATTAAATACAAATGTTTCAAAAATCTAAAAAAAGAATTGATATTACCCAGAAATTTATAATGTTATGATAAACACAAAATAATACATTTTGTTCCGATGACTTAAGCCATAATAAGTAGCAAGTGAATATACGCGACGCCAATTAATGATAATTTTAAAAACTCCTCCATACGGTTCAATACATAATCCATTTGTGTTTAATAGAAAATTCTAAAATTGAACCAACCATATTATTATTTCATTTTTTCATTTTTATATATATATAGATAGTTAAAAGCAACGCAAATTTCGCAAAAAAAAAGTGTTTTTTTCAGACTTACCTCCTTATTTTTGACCATTAAAAAATTAAAATAAAATAAATTTAAATATGGGTGATCAACTAGACAAAGGACAAAATCAAGGTGGATATCCGGGAGCCTACCCACAATACCCACAAGGACCATATTCCCAGCCACAATATCCTCCTCAGGGTTATCCACCTTCTCAAAACTCTAGTTATTACGGAAATAATGGAAATTATAACCCACAGCCACCAATGCAACAAGGTAAATTTTGGTAAAATTAAAATTATATAAAAAATTTGCTCATTATTTATTATTCGTTAGGTTATTATCCTACACCACCACCTCAAACGGTAATAGTCCAACAAGTACCTGAAAAAAACGATAATAAAGGATTATGTTTAGGATTGTAAGGATTTATTTTATTTTATTTCATTTTTAATAGTATTAAAATTTTAAACGTTCACTTTTTTTCTCTCTAGTGCTCTTGGAGCTTGTTTGTGCTGTTGTTGTGACGCATGTTGTTAAAACAGATGGTTTTCATAAAAATAATATTCCGATCATCGTAATTTTTCACCTTCTGGTATTTACGATAAATTATTGTATATTTTGTTTTCCAATAGAAACTTATTTTGTTCCCTATGATTCACGTGTCATAATAAAGATTTATTTTGTAAAAAACTCATCAATTTTAAATAAATATAAGAATTCCTATTAATTAATATATTTATCACAAATTTCTTTCAAAGCTTTGGCAGATTTTTTTAATCTCGCTTTTTCATCGGGATTTAAATGCACATCAATAATTCTTTCAACCCCGTTCCCTCCCAATACGACAGGCATACTCAATACACATCCATATTCTTCAACAAACGTACTCAAGGGTCTAACATGTCTTTGATTAAGGATAATACATTGAACTAACATTGAAACACACCCCGCGATCCCAAAATAAGTCGCACCTTTTAATTTTATGATTTCATAGGCCTTTCCAGAGATTTCCTTTGCAATTGCATCTTTATCTATGACTTTGATCTCTGGAAATTCTAACAATGGTTTGCCACCAACATGACCTGAAGACCATGCAATGAATTGTGAATCACCATGTTCTCCTAGTACATAACAATGAATTGCATTTTCTGCAACCTAATTTAATGATACTTTATTAGAACGATTTAAAAAAAGATAAAAAAAAAAAAAAAAAAAAAAAAAAAAAAACACTACCCCAAGCAACGAAGCTAATTTGAGTCTTAACCTTGCCGAATCTAAAAATGTACCAGATCCGAATACTTGATTATTTGGCAATCCGGAAAGTTTTTGAGCAATATATGTTAATACATCAACCTAGTGTTTTTTTTTTTAAAAAAAAAATAAAATAAAAATAAATTGTTATTTACAGTTTAAAAAATTATTTATTTATTTTTTTTTAGTGCTACTTACTGGATTAGCAACCAACAACAAAATTGCATGGGGATTTATTGGTTTCATAGATCCGATGACACTATTCAGGATTTTATAATTTCTCTCTATTAACTAAATAAGAAGAAGAAAATCGAGAAATTTATTTCATTCCTGTGATATATAACCGGATCCCCGATTTGAAAAATTACCCCAACTCTAGTTTCATCAGGTTTTTGTTTTGCGCCTGCAGTAATAATGATGATATCGCATTGACCAGCCTCTTGAAAAGTTCCACCACGAGTTTGAGTGGAAGTGATAAAATCCGCGTCTGATAAATCAAGAACTTGACCTTGTACGGTTTCTTCAACAATATCTACTAAAAGGATTTCAGAGGATACCTTTTGAAGAAGCAAAGCAAAAGCAATTGTCGCTCCAACAGAACCTGCTCCAATCACAGCGACACGCGATCTTTGTACCATTGTTACAAATATCTTGATGATTTATATGGATAGAAACTTGTATAATTTTTGCGGATAAATGACGGATAGATTAGATTATATCTTGGATTAATAAAAAATCCTAGAGATGGTTCTTGCAAAAAGGCAAAAAAATGGGATCTTTTATATAATTTTTATGCATTATATTTAGTAATATTTTCATTTACCTTAAAAAGTTTTAATTAAAAAATCATTTCATGTGATTAATTTAAAATAAAAATGACCTGATAATCTTAAAGACAAAGGATTATTACATAACCATACTAGGGCGTTGTTTAGTGCAGCACAAACAATTTACAATTAGAAAAAAGTCTTGCTAAAAATATAATAATATGCCAAATTATTGGGGAAGTATTTGAACAAACTGAGTATTTAAAAGGAAAATTACTTTGTATCATAATATGTAAATGGAACCTTGAAATAAAAAAGATTACCCAAGCGATAAGATTTCGTTAGCTGCCCATGATCAGTGTTGGACATTTATCTTATTGGATATATAAACTTATATATGTCCAATTGAACATCATATATTCCAAATCCAACACTGCCTCTTACGTTACATACACGTTCCAAAAATAATGCCTTGAATAAGTTGTTGTTTTTCGGACTCCTTTCGTTCCACAATCTCCAATTTCTCGGACTCTTTTCTTTCCACAATCTTTTTGTTATTTCTTTCAATAATTTCACAAATTTGATGGTTTAGATCAGGTTCAGATAATTGAGTAGTATAACCAAGAATTGTTTGCGAATTTTTGTTTAATTGTCTTGGCGTTAGAGCCACTACAGTACTAGTGTTAAAGTTTATATCAATCAACACCACACGTTTATTCAGATGCCCTTCGACTTATCCCAATTTCAAAGATTTTCATTTTTGTTTCCTTATAGCTTTTTTTTATGAATAAATTATAAAAAGAAATTGCTTCCATTACTTCAGCATATTCTTCATAAAAAGTGGCCAAATCTAATCCTAATGTTTCGTATCTCCCAATTTGATCTTCAAATTAAGGTTTCGGATAGTTGAGACGAAACTCTGGACGAAAAGTTTCAGATTTGAGAAAATGGTTTTGCCCGAAACACTATCTAATTCAATTTCAAGAACGCGAAAAGTTTCTTAAGATTTTCAACATGCTTCGATATTGTATCCAACACCTCAAATATCTTGGATCATTCTTATATCATATATCATTTATAAATCTATATGATGCACTTTCTAGAAATTGACGTAGCCTTGAGAGAAAACCAGCTGATTGCGAATAATTCTCCATTGTCCAGATCAAAAAGATCAAGATTTTCAAGTTCTGCTTTGGATTTATCATTACCAGCTTGAAGTCGCTCAGTAAAGCTTTTTGCTAAGTTTACACTTCTTTCTTGGCACCTCATTTTCTTTATCAGCCTTCATATGTAAATAAAATAAATATTTTTATGGAAGGTGCATAACTATTCCTCCTTCAGAATCAGTTGTTTTATATAAACAAAATTGCTTAACTGATCTCTCAGAGAAACCCAAAGGAGACCTTTGAGCATCATATAACCATGTCAATCAACCGGTAATCACCTTTGACAATATAAATTATATATAATAGCACCTTTTCACTGCATCAAAAAATTACTTTGGCGAACTCTTATAGGAAATCCTAAAGGAAAAGGATTTGGAAAATATTTTATATGAAATAGTTCGCATAATTTCTTTTATAACGGGAAGCCATTACAAAACTGAAATCTACAGAATATTTATTTATTCACGCGATTGATGACTAGTCGCCCACGTGACTTTTGGCTGGCATTAAGGCATTAATAAATTAACCTTGTGACAAATAATGGCGTGACTTATATGTTAGTTAGGGTTAGAGCTCAGGCGTAACAATTTTTGTTGGTGTGATGTTTGTGATGTTTATTTGTCACAACCTATATACGTGACAAATAATCAACCAGCCAATCAAACTTGGGGGTAAATTAGTGAAATTTTTGCCTTGTTTACTAATAAAAAATGCATTTATTTACTTAGAATTTTTCAAAGTGTAAATGATATCTTTGTATTCAGAGCTCTAATTAAATCATTAAATATATTTGTTTACAAGTTAAATAAGTTTTTTGAAAATCAGATCAGATCAATTAATTAAATATCGATCGATTAGCAAATAATTTAGAAGTAACAATGCCACCCCTCATTCCATTTACCCCAGTAACACTAACACTTTTTCACCCACATATGACCAACTTGTCGATAATCCTTAAAATTACAAATTTACTTAGATAATAAATATAGGTTTTGGATATGTATTTTGACTTTTAATATGAACGTTTCAAAATAATTAATTTTATAAAAAATTAGCATTTAAAAGCTACTTTTATTCTCTAAGTAAGGCTGCTCAAATCCAATCCTTTGTTTAACATAATTCCCCTCCTATTGGACAAATAAAAAGCAGTTGAACAACATATATTATATCAATTGATTAGTCCAATTTTGATTACAGGATCATTCATGTTTTACCATTAAATTAACCATGTTATGCTATTAGATCAGCTGCGAATTATAGTACTACACAAATTTCTGTTAATACATAAATGGTTCGCATTCTTAATGCTGCATTAAAATTCTGTTGCATAATGGGTTTCTTTGTTATGTGTATTCTTAAGGAAGCAAAAATTATCATTTCAGATTAGATTATATCACAGACTGTTCCCAGTTTTATGATGTTTTTAATGTAGCAACAAATAACCAGTTTGAAAGTTTAAAAGATGTTTAAGTATTTTTAAGAAAGCTTTCAGAAAAATGGGTTTATGCAGAAGAAGAATTGCAAGATGATATATTAATACTATTTGAGCTTAGCTTTACATATATTAAGTTCATTTTGGAAACAACTGGAATCATAATTCAAGAAAGAACAAATGCATTTGATCTTATTATGAAAATTTCACAATGTACTTGTCTTCCAGAACAGAAAAAAGGAAATACTCGCAAAGACTTACTTTATAATAATATCATTAAGTTATTTCAAAGTAAAATCATTGGATGGAAAAATGAAATACAAAATACTCTTGGAAAGAGTTTTATTGAACGTCTAACTGCAGCATTATGATATATAGATCCATATCATACAAAATTTACAGAATGATCACTTTTACTTAGAGAATTATTCAATAAATTAGATTAATATCAAAAAGACCAATATTACAATCTTTATTATTTTATCAGAAAGCATGCTAAATATAATCTTATATATGACAAACTTGAGAAACTAGCTTCTTCATTAGAGTTATTAGTAGCACAACTATGAGCAGCTAGTGAAAAATGGGAAAATATTATTGAAGAAGTTTTCATTTTAACATCTTCAATGCAAAAATATGCAAACAATTTAGAATAATTAACAAATCCATGAAACAAATATACTTAAATAATACAACTTGAAAGTGTATACAATTGATTCCTGTCAAAAAATTAATATACAATACCAACTACTTAAAGATCATCTACTTAACATAGCTAATTATACTGAAATTAATATAGAAAGCTTTCTACCTGAAGATGCAATGCAACAATACCATTATATTAAAGATCTTCAGATGCAATTTTCTGTTACTTTATATTGGTATTATCAAGGTAATTAATTACCTTGGCAGTCTTAACTATATTTGAAAGGTTCTAATTAATCCTGAAAAATAATTAGAGACTGCACAAACACGTGTACTAACAACTATTCAAGAAAAATTACCACAATATTTTAGTCAACAAATGTGAAAAAATGATTAGGAAAGGTAGATATTATTTGTATTATTTTTTGAATAAAATATACTAATATTTATATAATATTTATTAGTTAAAAATATTATACCCGCTATTTTGCATATTTTATATTATGATTTAACTGGAGATACTGCTGTAATATCAAATGATTTTGTAAAGAACTGAAAGAATAGCTTCAACTTATGTTAACGATAAAAGATCCATCAATTATATATAATTTACATCAAATAATAGATTTAAAGAAATAAAATTCAACACTTTTTGGAATGAAATGGGAGCTTATTTTAATAAGGTAATTTATTTTTTTAGTTACTTTATTTTTATATGTAAAATATTTGTATTTAATATATTTATACTTTGTAGAATTCACCAGCAGTTAATGAACAGTAGCATAGAAACATTCTCTATATGCCACTTGCAATTTCAATACGTAATCTTTGTGAGATAATTATTAAATGGCTAAATAAAAACTTATATTTGAAACTGTTTTAATTCCAAGTAAAGAATGAATATGTTTACAATTTCAACACCCAAATTTGATGATGAAAAGTGCTAAACAATATACTAGCCGTTTTAATAACAAATTTATAGTCAAAGCAAGATAGCTTTGTAAAGACCATCCTGATACACATTATTGTGTAGCTCTTTTTCGATATTTGTGAAAATTTGCAATTTTATATTGACAGTATGTTTCATTTATATGTGCAGATGATAAGTATAAGGTTCCTATTAGAAAAGATGTCAATACTTCTATTGGTATTTGTAATAGAAAAACTATGGTTTTTCAGAAAACTCCTTTAGTTGCATGTAATCATGATTTTATGAAGTTGTCCTTTATACACTCTATAATATTCTTTTGCAATATTCACCAATCTATTAAAAATTCTTTTTATAGTAGAAAGTATTTGTTTCATTTAAAAATATAGTATTCCAACCTAGTAGTGCTATTAGACATATTACTGAGTTTTATAATGCAATTTCTACTCATCACCTTAACAATATTCCTTTAATTCTTTGCTTTTATACTAATGGTGATCCAAATCATTGCACAATATTTAGTTCAGTTTAAATTTCTCTTATTTGTTTTTTTTTACATGGAGATTTTGATATGCTTATTGCTAGAGTTCCTCAAAATTGAATCGAATCAAATATTTAAGCAATTTGAATTTGATTTGATTTTTTCAAATCGAATTAAACCAAATCAAATTGAACTTAAATATTTGATCAAATCAATTTAAATCAATTTGAATTTGATTGAATTGAATTGAATCGAATATAAAATTTTTTTGATTTTTATAATGATATATTAAAATAAAGTTATTCTAAGTTTTAATTAAGAAAATTATTAGTAATTGCACTAAAAAATTTCAAAAATTGCTTTTACAAAGTAAGTTTAGTAACAGGTGAATTTTTACTATTACAGCTAATTTCAAAATTCACAGACCAACTATAATTATTCATTTTTTGCAATTTTCAGACACAGGTTTTATCACAGCTATTTTCAGAGATGCTACATAAATTATATAATAAACAATATAAAATAAACTATTCAAACTATGCGAAATATGCGTAATATGCGTAACACATAACTTTCCTTTTTTTGAAATATGACGAAATTAAAAATTACTACACACTTTCGTTGGCAAATAATTGAAAAATGGTTTTCTGGAAGTTCAGAAAGAAAAATTGCAAACCATTTTGGAATTAGTAAAACTTTAATAAATAGAATAATACATCATTTTCAACAATTTGATTCTGTAGAAACATTATCTTCATTATGTGGTCGACCTTGTTTGTTATCGGCAAATGATTTAAAATATTTTGAATTGCTAGTAAATGAAAAAATAGATTGGTATATATGGGAATTGCAAAGTGAAATGGAGCTATGACTTGAACATAATATTGGGTATACTATAATATGACGTGTTTTACATCACCTTGGATATACAAATAAACAGGTAATTTATTATTTTACAATGTCAATTTGTATAATATATTTTTAAGTTTTTAATTTTTATTTTAGTTAACTAAGCCAGCAAAGGAAAGGAATGAAATTGATCATGCTGATTATATTTTACGAATTTCTCAATATATTCCAAAACAATTAGTATTTGGTGATGAATCTGCATATGATAAGAGATCATTATTAAGAAAATATAGATGGAGTTTAACAGAAATTCGTGCTATGAAACCATCCTTTTTTATTAAATAACAAAGGTTTACAATAGAAGCTGCAATATGTATCGATGGACTTTTAGCTTATGGTATTCAGGAAAGACCAATGAATACAAAAGATTTTGAAGATTTCATAGAATACATATTGGTATATATATATAATTTATTTATTTAAAAATTATTTTTTTGATTTAATAATAACTATAAACATATTTTTATAATAGTTACCAAAAATGAATAGATTTCCCGAATCACATAGCGTGAAAGAAAAAGGTGTAATACTTGAATTTTTACCAGCATATTCACCTGATTATAATCTTGTAAGTTAAATTTTATTTAATTTTTATTATTTATTTGTTATTTATTTATTTAATTATAACATTTAAAAAATTTTTTTTACTTAAATTGAACAATCCTTTTATTATATTAAAAATTTTTTAAGACAAAATCGTGATTGGGT